CTTTCCTCTGTGAACATCCCATGATCCTGGCATCTCCAGCATCCTGGGGTCTCCACTGCAACACAGATTTTACCTTCACAACTTCATACATCGTCTCTTAAGGCCAAAGCTGACAATCAATATTAACCATTGCAACTTTTAAGTTATCCTCTTGTAGATTTCTCTATTAATTATCTCTGATATTTGTTAGTTACATCAGTGGCAGACAACTGCCTGGCTGTTCCCCAATCTTTTTCTTCCTGAGTCATCTTTATTTCATGGTCTGCCTTATACTTAAATGGCTGGGAGATTTCTTACTAGTAGAAAGTAGGTGAAAGTGATGTACATAAAACATTCTTTGGGCCATCTCTCACGCTTTTCAAAACTTTTGTGTTTGATGTTGTGATTATGTGTTGGACATGCCAGAGTTTGAATATGGAAAAAAACTCGACATAAATTCTTAGTGGACACTTTCCTGTCATTCAAGACTTTACAAGAATAAGAAATGCACTTTGTTTTGTGAACATATAGGCTTCTGTGTTTGTTGCAGTAACTAGTGTTACATTAATCTGAATATATTCACATTTATAGCAAAGGACTTTTGGTTTACTGACCATTCACTATTTTGGGGGTACCGATAGTTAATAAAATTTCAGTCACATAAGAAGTTGTTGAAGCAATAGTAATTGCTATTCCACAAATGAGAAAAATACATCCTAGAAAATAAGCCAGAGGCCTGAGAGGTCATGAAGTATGCAGAGAAAAGTTTGCAAAACTCCAAAGCACTCATGTTCTTTTTGACAACCCATTTGCATTCCCACAGGAAAATACTACATAAATTGTATTTCAGTGATTTATTTGTCCATTCATTTCTTCAGTCATGAATTCATTCAATATTTTGTGCTACTTTGTACCATATCTTTTCACAGGAAAAACATTCTTTTTGTTAAGACACAGAAGCAATTATTTTTGCTTGTTTGGTGGGTGGTGTTATGTTCTGAATGGTTAAATCTGCCCTTACACAATTGATATGTTGAAATTCTAATCCCCTTAGCAATTGTATTAGAACGTGTGTTCTTTGGGAGGCAATTAAATCATAAGGGTAGAGTCCTCAAAAATGGGATTAGGCCCTTGCAAAAGAGGCCCAGGATCTACAGAATGAGAGAAAAATCTTTCCTAGCTATGTATCTGATAGAGGATTAGTATCTAGAATATATAAAGAACTAAAAAATTAAACAATAACCAAATCAATCAATTAATGTACAGATGAACTGAACTCAAAAGAAAGTAGTCAATAAATACATGAAAAGATGTTGAACATCCTTGGCCACCAGGGAAATGCAACTGAAATTCCATTTTTCTTTAGTCAGAATGACTATCATCAAGAAAACAGGAAGGGCTAAGCCATAGCCGAGGGTGTAAGAAAGAGCACCTATCACACAGGTCTGAGGGCCCAAATTTGGATCCCTAACACCCACATATAAAAGCCAGTGTGTTTCTGTGTGCAGTGCTGGTGTGTATGTGTGTGCGTGTGAGCATGCAAGCACGAGCACAGAGGCTAGAAGAGGGCATCAGAGTCCTTGGAGCTGGAGTTACAGGTGGTCGTGGGCTGGCCCATTAGGTGCTACGAACTGAACTCAGGTTCTTTGGAAAAGCGCTAAGTATTCTTAACCACTGAGCCCTCTCTCTAGTCCCAAAGGGACTATTTCTTAAAAATAAAAAGTGGGTTGGGCTACTGTACAATAAAGATCTGGCCTATTTCTGCATTTCATATACCAAGAAAACTGAAATTCCATTATTTTTCCAATAGTTAGTGTTAAGGTTTGATCATTGTGGGAATGTGTACTTTCTACACAAACTGAATAGAATTAGGACTTATGGTTACCCATGGCTTTAGGAGAAATGGAAAGGGGAAAGGCAGTTGTGGGGGACTTAAGACTTTTTTCTTTTTTCTCTCCTTCCCTCCCCCTCTCTCTCTCCTTCCTTCCTTTCCTCCCTCCCTCCTTTTCTCTCTGGAGCTGGGACTTGGTTGGCCTCACACATAGCTAGACAGGTGCTCAATACCAAGAAAATTTTGTTTTAGTCAGGCAAAACAAGTTTCACTTATAGATGGATAATACATCCACACCACATCACACCCATGCCCACAATCCATCTTTTTCTTACTGGGTTTCCAATTCCTGTCCATGCATTAAGCAAGCATTTCCTAAGAGAAAATATGTGATCTGGAGACAGGTTAGAGGGACTCAGTCCTTCTGAGGGGCATTTTTTTCAGCAAATAAACATTATGAAATAATGTTAGGAATGTTAATGATAGGTCTTTATTGTAAGAAGTCTTTAATGTTTACTTTTCCTTCAAATAAGCTATTAGGGACCAGGCCAGTTTGACCCTTTAATTGACAGCTGTCAAACCTTTCTTCTTGTGCCTGGGAGGGGGTGGCAGGAGTGGGAAACAGAGTTAGCAATGCAGTAGTCCTTCTTTTGGCAACTGGCCAGACTGTCTGAGTGTCATTGTAACAGCCTGACTGCTTTGAGCACTCCAGCGAAACATGGAGATTATACACCATGGCTGCAACTGAAGCCCTTGACTCCTGCTTCTCAGGTCTTTCCCCAGTCATCATGACTGCTCTAGGCCACCCTTGCTGAAAGGTAGTGCTCCAGGCAAGGCAAATGTTGGTGAACTCTGATTTGTGGTGCTGGATTGACCCTGGAGTCTTCTGTATGCTATGTAAGTGCCTAACACCAAGCTACACCCCCAATTTTATAATTCTTATGGGATGCTCCTAATCTAGTGGAACTGTCTGCCCCTCTGTCTTAACAGAAAGGGTACCTTGTTCTAGAAAACACGTGGTTCAAACGGACACAGAATAAGTAACGAATAAATTAAAGAACAAACAAATCAATGGATAAATTTGTGAATTATACAGAATTTGACGAGATAGGGATCCTCTCCATAGCCCAGGCTGGCCACAAATAGCAGAGAATTGGTAGAATTGAAAGCTGTATTGAGATTAGTGTACATATAATCCTTCATTTCCATGCCCTCTCCAATAACAAGGCTGTTTTAGAGTCAGCCAGAAGACATCGTTTTATGAAGCAACATTATGCCCAATAAGGGGCTTCTCCAAAGGTCTTTCTACGCCTACTGGCGATGCTTACCAAGGGGAGAGTGGGCCGAATTGCTCACAGGAAGAGCGGTCAATTACAGGGCCTTTGGGAACTAGCACTGTATAATAGATCAGCCACAGCAGAGGAGTGGAATCGGCAGTAGTGGTGAGAAACAGGCAGCGGAGGTGACTGTCATGGGAGCGATAAAGAAGGTCAAAATGGAGAAAAGGTCAAAGTCGAGAGACTTCAGGTCTGTCACTAGGTACCAACACCCAGAGCCCAAGGGCTGAAATCCTCACTGGTGCTGACTCGCTAACGGTTGAGAGGGTCAAAGATTTCATTGCTTGCAGTTTTGGGCCACCAGCAATCCAAACTAAAGAGTAAGCCTTAACCCAAGTTCTCAGAGCCATTATTCTGGTTTTTAACTCTAGTTCTCAGGCTAGGGCTGTACTCCTCCCAGTCTTCTCTGCCCAGCCCCTCAGCCTTTGGAAGTCTAGGGCCCAGGTCTACCATTTGGAGCCCCACACCTCTCCTACCAGTGTTTTTCATGCTCATGGTGCAAGATGACCCCAACCAGCTCCATGGTAACGGTCCTGGATATAAAACAGGAGGGGATACGGTGTAAAACAATGGAGCCGGAGAAAGAGATGAACTCCAAGAGAAAACCCCGATAGAAAGAAGCCAAAGGTCTTGACCACAATCTTGCAATGGGAGAAAATCGATTCTTCAGAAAGACCGGAGCCAGTAGGATTAACCTGGGTGTCCACGTGTTTCCAGAAGCTCTGAATCACCATCCCGGAAAAAAGGAAAACTTGTATGACTTTCTGGAGTGTGCTATGAATTAACTTATGGCCATTTTCTACAAACCGTCTTCATGGTACATACTCTCATGAGCCATGAACATCTTCAGAGCGAATGCAATACTGCATGACTGCCCCAAAGTCGACGCAGGCCAACGTCCCTAACAAGGGGGTGCTTCCGAGAGGGCCTGGGATGCCGGTACACCGCAACCCCACGTGCGGGTCGCGCTGGCTCTGGGCCCGCACCGCGTCTCCCGAGACGCTCCGAGCTCCGGCCGCGTTGCGGGCGAAGACGAGGGCCTGCGCTCTGGGCCCGCCCACCCCGAGACGTCCGGTGCGGTGGGAGTGCGGGGAAGCCCAGAACTTCCCGGCGGGAGCGCGGGCCGTGCCGGCGCGGGCTGGCTGGGGAGCTGATCTCGCGAGAGGAGGCCGAGGGGCGCGGGGAAGCCTGAGGACCAAGGCCCGGCCCGGGCAGCCAAGCTGAGGCGGTGGCTGCGGGGAAGCCGCTCCCGCCCCTGAGGAGAGTCAGCCCCTGACGTCAGGAGTTTTCCTCAAAGTCAACAACAAGCCCCGAGGCGGCGGCGGCCAAGAGCTCCCGCGGCGGTCCCTGGAGGGAGGAAGGAGGGGGCGGGGAGGCGGCCGGTCCCCGAGGCGGGCGGGCGAGGCCGCGGCCCCCACCCCGTTCTGTGCAGCGCACGCCGGGCCCGGAGCCTCCACCCCGCGCCTACCCGCCCGCCGGCGCTACCCGGCCCCCGCCCGAGCCGTGTTTTCTGGTGATGAATTTGTAGCCGATATCCGATTCCCATGTAGAGTCTCCGCCTCCTCCTCCTCCCCGCGCTGCCGCCGCCGCCGCCGCCCGCCCTCCTCCCGCCTCCTCCCGCCGCCGCCCGCTCCAGCTCCGCGGCCCGCCCGGCCGTCTCCCTCCCTCCCCGGCAGCCCTTCGCCTCCCCTCCCG